TAGGAAAACACAACTTGTCAAGTAAATCCAAAAACATTTTTTCTGAATGTTTTTTTTATATGCAGCTTACTTTTTTGCTTCCTCAGGAAAGTAATTCTCGCAGAAGGCCTCATTTCTTACACCACGTACATTATTATGGTAGCGGTAAGATTGCACCTAACTACAGACCAAATTGTGATATAGCCACTTAAAATTCATATAATTCCAACAGTTTGCTGTCTCCTTTCTATCACTGCTCGACCATATGGGTTCCTCAAAACCTGTTCTCTCTGTGTTCTGACCTGGACGTTCAGCATTACCTGTCCATACTGCTCAGAAGAGTCTGTTGAGGGAGGACAGGTACCTCTTCCCTGTGTAATGCTCTCCTGGTCTAGGACGAGTGACTGGCAATGTCTATGGGTCTAAAGAGAGCCTTGTAGCTGTAGGGGACAGAGCTGTGGATCTGGTTTCTACTCCCAGGACTGTTCTGGTTTTTGTCTGATGTTTACAACTTTAAAACTCACATCTTGGAAAATGCACTTGGGGATTTTGAAACAACTTATTTCCAACAGAGTACTCAGTGTTGTTTTGTGCTGGTGGCTATTGCAGTCCTCCGTGTTCGCCTCGCTCCTGTGAAGTGCCTTTGATCCTGCCAAAATAATGGCTGGGTGTTGTAGGCTGAAGTAGCACAGCAAAGATGAACTCAAATTTAATATTAGTTCAGTTAAAGGAATAGTTTGATGTGAATGATCTGCAGTAGCTGTTCACTGCTATGGCAAGAAGCCTCTTTACCAGAATTCAGGCCTTTTTCCTTTCAGATGCAGTCAATACCAGGCGTGTGGGGATTTCTCTGTTCCAGTTATTCTGAAATCCCCCCTCTGGCATGCTCCTACACCTTTTATCAGATGATACAACTTCATCAAAATATCCACAGTGTTTAATGTTGAGCCTTCTTGCTGTCTTGTGCCCATTTAATCCCTCTGCTTCCAGCGTTTGCAAATAACATAGTAGTCTAGGGTTTGATTTTCAGTGGAAAAGGGCACCTGCACGGAAAACTGCTGCTTGTCCTTCTGAAGAACAGCTGCACAGAAGAAAATAAACTGGCTCAGATGCTATAAACTTGCAGCAAATATGTGAGCAGTCCCAGCCTACAGCCAGACAGCTTGTGAGCCTTTCTCAACACTGTTTATAGTCCTGCAGGCTTTTAAGGTTTGTTTGGTCAGTGATTTTCCTGAATAGGCAGCTGACATCGCCACCTTTCTCCCGAAGGTTCAAGTAAGACAGTGCTATGTGGTCATTGCCTGAGGTCTCTGCCTTAGCGGTTCTTGACATTTAAGATAGAGGGATTAAGCTGTCACTCTTAGCAAATGTAATTCTTAATGGGAGCATTTCTATTTGTGCTCTCTGCTGATGGGTGCGTTGATATGCTTCCCCTGCCGGGTCTCTGAAGTTGTTATAAATCAAGCAGAAAAAATATTCACAGTTGGGGTGGAGTTGAGATCCAATTTCCCGAGAGTTCAGGGCTATTCCCCTCCCTTAAAAGAAAACACAATGTAGATCACACTTAGCATGTTTTACAAGCTGTATTTCCCCTACGTAGATTTAGCTAAGCAGTGGCAGACAGCTTCCCTTCTACTTGGACCGAAGTTTTCTTGGTCAGATGTTCACACCTGTGAGCATGGACTTTGTTTAGCATAGAATTGTGCTGGTTTTATGCCCTAGCTTGTATTCTGCATCCTGCCTTCATGGACAGGGAGATGTTAAACTTTGCATTAATTCCTGATTAATGGTGCCAGACTGATGGAGTAGTCAAAATATACAAAGATGAACGCTTTAAGTTTTTTAATATATCTGTAAACCTTATGACGTGTGTGCTTTCAGCAACAAGATATCTTTCTTTAAATAGCTGTGTTCTTGATATGGTGAGCATTTTTATTTTCCCCTTCTGTGCTGAGAGTTTTTGTGGACTGCCGTTATCTATACGAAACTAGCAGTGAGAGGAGGTTGTGAGGGATGGGAATGAAAATCTGTCCACAGCCACCATTAATTCACAGCCTGTAGTTGGACATTGACACCACTTTCCCTCCCTCTCTGTTTTATTGATTGACTGTTGGGTTTTTTTTTGAACTATTAAGGACATGACTTCTCAAGATGCTGAGCACAAAACTGAATTTGAAGCTGGTGAGTAGGAGCTGCAGATGTCCAGTAACCGAAACCCATCCTTTAAATAAATGTTCTGTATTGGTTTAGTCGTGATAGATCCCAGGTTGTTTTCTGATGCACTGAGATGAGTGTTACAGCTTAAATCTGTCATTACAGATCGGGGCTTAGTTGTTAGATGGCTGGAATAATACATTAAATCACTTTACTGCATGTTCAAGCTCTTTTTAAAATGTAGGTATCAATAAAATATTTAATAATGTCAGTAATTTCTAGTGATTTGTCATGGATGATCAAAACTAATAAGGCCTTACCCAGATCCCACTAGGTTCAATGGAAAAAGATTACTTCTGGGTTAAATTTATATTGAGCAGATGCCAGAAATAACAGAGGTAAGACGTCTTTTGTCACAGTTTATAAGCTAAGGAAGGTAAGACTTATGCTATGGACTATTTTAAAATCTTGAGAGTACATTGCAGGCACATTTCTTCATTCTGCTTTTAATTGATTTGATAAGCCTCTTTCAACTATGCTGCTTTAAAAAAAAGCTCAGAAAACAGTATTTTGGCAGGTCAGATGGATGTTTCCTTCTTCAGAGTAGGCTCAGACTGAACAGGAATGTAACTTTCATGCCTTATGTATTCTTAGTTCTAGGTCTGGCTTCTAACACGTGCAGGAACTGCAGAGTAGTACTGAATTGTTACCGTTGCAAATCAATGGTGCAGGTTATTCAACTGAAAACACTTGGTAATTCCTGAATCTAAGCCATAAGTATATGTGGTTTTACGTTCAGTAATGTGGTACTGGGAGAAGCTGGTAGCTGTTACCAATGGCACATGCAATTTTTTCTTCTGAACCTCTTATTCACCCACTGCCCTCATGTGCCCTACTTGGATGATGCTATCCTGGCAAGCTGGTCAATATTGTGTGTTATCTTGTTGGTGATTTCTAAATGCCTTCCATTATAAAAGTGTTTAGAAAAGGAAAAGTGAAGCGTGCTATTGAAGTTCTAAAACCAAAGACTCAGCTTTTTCTCAAACTTACCCATGATCAGCCTTAGGTGAAAAAATATACATAAAAATATACATCACTGTCACTGTATTGGCTTCCACCCAGACAAACGTCTCTTGTGTTGACTAGAGTTACAGGATCAGTTTTAAAACAGCGGTAACAAAAGAGGGGAAAAAAAAAAAAAAAAAAAAAAAAAAAAAAAAGGAAGATCTCAGATGTGTAGCAGAGAAGTTCAGCAGTGCTGAGACGGACGTGAATGTGTTACTTGGTCCCACTGGTAATTGCTGCTCCAGTTATTTCAAGCAAACCCTGTGGTTGCCAACGGTATATTTTTTTAAATCAAACTGTTCTTTTGATTTTCTTAATTACCATGGTACACAGCTCATGGTATTTTGCCTTCATTTATGTAGATTGAAATCTCTCTTTCCCCATCTGGGACGCTTGTATCAGCTGTAATCCATTTGTGATTAAAATCCTTCAGGCTTTTTTCAGTGACTGGTGTACATGTATCAAAGATGAAGCTTATGACAGTGGTGCTGTGCTGCAGCAGCAGCAGAGCGGCTGTAGATACAAGTCCACATCATTAAATAAGGTGTAGTGGGAATGAAAGGGAATAATGCTCTCAGTGTTGTCTTGATCAGAGCGTTAGCTTTAGGGCATCCGCGCTCTCTTTCTGTTCAACGTACACCATGTGTGCTGGGGAAGTATCACAAGGCAACGTGGGGGAAGTTAACTTGGTGATGAGAGATGTAGTATCTCACAGTGTTTGCAAAACACGAGCGTGCTTTGTTCTGCCACAGCAGCTATTTCCTGCTCCTGCCCCAGGAAGGCCGCGCACAGCGGGCTCGCACCCTGCTCACCTCGCAGCCTCCTGTTGCACACACCACAGAAAGACGCGTGTTTGACTGCTGTGTCAGACTTGACAAAGGGACTTCACAGCCACAGCTTTTTTATTGGTCGTGTTTGTCTGAGAATGGGTTATCCGATAACCTGAGTAGCTAAACTAATCACGGAGTATTTATCCAGAGCAGTTTTAAAGTTCTTCCTGACATCGGGGATGCCTTTGGAGAGGGCAGCAGCCTGTGCATGGTGCCCGTCTTTTTGCGAGTGCTGGTGGTTGTCAGAACCACAGCTGAAGTGCTGTAACAGGATGTTCACCTATTTGTTTCAGGAGGCGAAAAAAAAAGAAAAGAACAATGCAAAAGGAAAGCACCAGCAAGAGAACAGTATGTTCTTTGTAATGCTTTTTCTTCAGGGACATCTATTGCTGGCAATAAGATTAAATCACTGAAACCTTCCCTGAAGCTACATCTGCCACTGACTACATTTTCCAACCTCAGTAATAAACTAACATTTGCCATTGTTCGTTTCTTCTGGATTTCATTTCTTACAGATTTAACCAGCACTATTTACCACAAGGCATTCAGCTCTTGCTTAAAGCTGAGTTCTATGCCAAGTCCCTAAAAATATTCATAGCTCCAAAGAATCTGGTTTTAAATAATATCATAAAAAGTAGATGATATTAATACCCCAGTTCACACTGAGTTCAAGTATTGCTGATGCCAATGTATAAAAATGATAGAAGCCCAAGAAGCTCTAGGCGAGCCTACCCTGAAGTGGGGAACAAAATCCTTTTTACCCTATTACTAGCTCTCTGTATTGTGACTGTGGCAGTCATTTTCTTATCAGAAACTCTTAGAAGTGTCTAGATATCTATGTGAATGTGTTTTCTCCTCATGTGCTGTGCCCTCTCGGAGCAGAGCCGTCGATGGGCTGTGGCCTGGTCCGGCACTGCCGGCGCATGGACGGGGCGTTGATGAGGGAACTGACTCAGCCCTCTCTTCCCGCAGGATGCCATCGTGATCCACGAAGTTTATGAAGAAGGGGCAGCAGCCAGAGATGGCAGGCTTTGGGCCGGAGATCAAATCCTTGAGGTAAACGCGTCTCGTCATTGCATGCGCTTCATCGCATCTTTGTGGCGTAGATTTGTGTTCGGTTCAGCATAGGTTTCCTTCAGCGAAAACAGAGACCCTTTGCAGGAGCTGTACTTGAAGCTGCTTTTCTGCCACTGAGACCATCCTGACAAATTCCCATTTCCTTACATATTCACATAAACTGAAGGGACAAATTGAGAATGTATTAAATTTAATTGAGCACGGCAGTTCTCGAATTACATAGTTCAGCTGTCATGTCCAATAGCTCGGCGTTATTCATCTGTTTAATCTTGCATTCGGAGGCCTTTCGTTTGCTGCGGCCGGAGCTGTGGCATCTGCTCTGCCCGTGCGCGAGGCTCAGGGCAGGACGGCGATGGCGGCCACAAGGCCTCAGGGCCGCCGCCATCCGCGGCCATGAGCGCTGCCGGCTCCCTCAGGCCAGGCCTCCTCACGCACGGCGCCGCGTTCAGCGAATAAACGTGGTATTCCTGCAGCAAGGATGGAAGTCGAGGTGGGAAGGGGTTAAGAAAGAAGTGCTGGTCTGCAAATGAAACTTGCGTCAGGCAGCGGGTGCGCAGCTGTTTACAGTGCCTCGCTGTCAGATCAGGACAAATTCCCAGCATGGCCATTAAGGCGTTAGTGTGTAGGGTTAGAAAAATAGTGAGGGGCACTTGGGGAGCTGTCTTTACAGCTCTTGCACAGAAAATGTTTTTTTTAGCGTTAAGGCTGACTGTTATTTTCATTTTATAAATAACTGTGTATTAACAGAGTACGATAATTAGCCAGGGGATAAAAATGGGGAAGGTTAATTAATTCTTCACTGGCCAAACAGGAAAGTGCTAATGTTTGTGTGCCATAATATTGTTATTATTTCAGCTTTTAAAAGCTGTACTAATGAAGCAGAAGGATGACTCTGAATGAGTTTCAGATTGGTGTGATAAAGCACACATAGATGCCATGTCAAGGAAACAATACTGAGGCAGTGTATAAATAAATGACTACAGAGTTAGTATGAAAAAAAATACAATTACTGTAGATTAGGCTTAATTATCTTAATGCAAAATCAAGTATGATTATAACTTTGCATATTTAGAAATACAGAGAAATATTTCCATTGCCTTAAAACTTATTATTTTATGTAAGTAGATTACCATTGTATTGTTATTCAGCTACAGTCCATGCTGCTTGCTAGCCAGACTTGGAAAACATTTATGCGTTGATATTTGAAGAAAAGAGATTTTTGCCCAACAGAGTATGGGCAAACACCTTACAGGGCATCTCTGTGTCAGGCTTGGCAAAGTTAGGAGATCAGATTTCAAGTTTCAATAGTTTTTTCAGGTACTTAAGCATTCAATCAGAACTTTTTGTTCGATTTGATAGTACTGAAACATTTCCAGGTTACTGTAAGAGAAATGTAATCAAATGCTACAGGAGTGGTCTTGTGTGCCATCTATTGGAATAAAGCAAAATAACCATTTAACGTGTCCTGCCTCGGCTTCACCATGGCCATTCGCTAATGTTTCTGATGCCTGGTGTCGTTGGCTGGACAGTGTTACTTAGCCAGGGGAGGAGGAATTCGAGTACTGGTACCTGTAAGGAGAAGGAGTAGAGGCATAGGAAGGTTGAAGGGAGCACGTCATGCGTTGTCTAGTTGTAAGAATGTAAGCACTGTTCAAGATTCCAGTATTTAAAAAGAAGGACAGAATATCTACAGAACTTACAAGCCCCAATGTTTTGATTGTTTGGATTTAATCTAGACGGTGGCAGAACACACGCAGTCTCATTCAGCAGGAAAGCAGACGCTCAGCCCTCTGGAAATCGGAGCACTAAATTAGAGTGCCAAGAGGTGTCAATTTGACAAATTTGTCCTGTCACACAAGGGTAGGATGTGATGAAAGGATCATTCGCATATGTCATTTGGAAAGAAAACACTGATTATTTCAGGTGAACGGGATCGATTTGCGGAACGCCAACCACGAAGAAGCTATCACTGCGCTGAGACAGACGCCTCAGAAGGTGCAATTGGTTGTTTACAGAGATGAAGCTCATTACAAAGATGAAGAAAATTTAGAGATCTTCCATGTAGATATTCAGAAGAAAACAGGCCGGGGACTAGGGCTCAGCATAGCTGGAAAACGGTAAGAGCTTCTCTTTGATCAGACTGCGCTACAAATGGGAAATACTTTGCTTTTCGCCATGTGAACAGCTGTAGCCATTAAATGGAGTATGAAATAAAGGAAAAAGTCCATGAGCAACAAGATTTTGTATCTGAGTATCTTCAAGGATGTCATGGGGTTGCGATCCTTACTTCTCTTAACAGAACAACAGCAGACCTGTGTAATAAAGGCTGCTATTCCCTGGGAAAACTCCCAGCCTGTGGCACTGTGTCCCACTTTGTGCGTGCCCAGGTGAGCACATGGAGAACTGGGGAAAGCTCTGGTGGCTTAAACAGAGCTGTGGCTGAGCCCTTCTCTGACTTCAACATGGGAAGAAAACTTTCCTATTTCAAAATACGAGGATGAAAATGGATTCATCTGTTAGATCTATAGCCTGCTCGGTTTCAAAATGACCAGTTTTGGTGGAAGGTAAGAGGCTGGTAAAGATTTAGACCCAAATCATGTAAGACATGTGAGTGACCATACAACACTACAGACAGTGGTTCTGTGAATAGAAAACAGAATCCAAGATACTGCGGTAGGTAACAGCTGCTTAATAAAATCTGACTTCTTGCTGATATATTTCTAAACCAGTGCTATTAGATCATTCAAACTAGAGCACTGATAGATTTAATCTTTCATTGCTAGAAGAGATTTACAGCACGACACAGGCGAGCACTCATTCAGCTCTGGTGGGTACGAATCGTATGGTTGCTCTTCTGCATTGCCAAAAAAAATTTATTTTCCCAATTACAAATCATCATGTCATTATCCTGACTGCGTATGGTCAGTGAAGTTTCCACAGCAGTTTTTTTTTCCTTTTACAAGAGTGGTGATGTTTAACCCAGGTGTTGTGAGCAGATTGCAGGTTGGGTAATTAATATAGCTTATGTAAATTACCCTACAGATGGTAATACAGACTCCAGCCCTCCCTCGGCTGCTTCTGTGCAAAACTTCCTGTACTGTTGCTAACTGCTTGCCTTGTGGGGGTTTCCACCTACGAGGCAACCTCCGATCTGAAGTTGATCTGATGATGGCCAGCGATCAGCCAGTGAAACCTTATGTCCTGCAGGGTGAAGGATCGATCCCAAGCCCGTGCATCTCAGCCCATACCAGCTCCACAGCGAGCCCTGGTAGCTGGGGCTGGGCACAGAGGGGTCCTGCAGCATGGGAAGGGAGCCTCCTGCCGAGGCTGCAGCTTGGGAATCTGCTCACATGCCCCTCGGCTGCCCGACTGCTGCTTTCCAGTTCTCGCAAGCCTCGCTGCAGGCAGACAGCCACAAAGCTGGATTTTCTGCTGCATAACTCAGTGCAAACTTAAAAGTCTTCTCTGCAAACTTCTCTCCTGTTTGGGGCCTCCAGGGTTTTAGAGAAGAAACCAAGCTGAACCTTTAGGGGGAATATAAAAAGTAAAGTAAAAAAAAATCTGAGGCTGCATAATTCAGATCAGGCACATGAGGGGATGGTTTAACTCCATCTTAGTCTGATCCTTGGCTTTTTTATTTATACAAGTGGTATTTTTCATGAATCTTTATGGATTAAACAGAACTAACAGAAAAAGGGGAAAGACGGCATTAAACGCAGCAAAACATGCCTCAATTTTAAATTTCAGATTTTTTTTACACTCAAAGAGTTGAATGGGGTATAAAACTTGTTCGTGCTCTTCTCACAGGTTTCTTTTAATGTCTCTTAAATGCAAGTAATCTAAATTGGTCTCCCAAAGAATATTGGATTGTGTAATTAGCCATATGCTTCTTGCATTGTTAGAAATGGAAGTGGAGTGTTTATCTCTGACATTGTTAAAGGAGGAGCTGCAGACCTAGACGGAAGATTAATTCAAGGAGATCAGATTTTGTCTGTTAATGGAGAGGATATGAGAAATGCCTCACAAGAGACTGTTGCCACTATACTTAAGGTGAGTACATAATACATTTAAGATATGGAATTGCAGTTACTGACACTGTGCGAGGTAATTATCCTGAAGTGCTATTTACTCATACACAGGACAGCTCAGACTGATTACAAAGACAGGAATTTCATCTGAAATTACTGCGAGAGATTCATTTAAAATCACTTCATGTGTATTTAGAAGTGGAATGGCATGAAATGAGAAAACAAAGACATGTATAATATTTAGACATTTATTTGAAGATGCAACTGTATATTTCATGAGCTAGAAAAATATTTTGAAACCTGAGAGGCATACAAATGAGAGCTGCCCTGCAGTAAAGTGCCTTTGGCTTTGCTGTACTAACCTGCAACTATAAAACTGCAACCTCAATCCGTTTCTGCACAGCTTTTCATCTTGCAGGGGTGGTTGTATACTTTGAAGTTGTGTGGTCTGGGAGAGAATTTGCCTTTTTCCGTTAGAAAGCATGTGGCTGCTGTCTGGGCTTGAGAGGGAGGAGAGGACCCGGGATGCCCCAGCCACAAATTCCCATTGTCAGCTCCTTCATCAGGGCTGACAGCCTGGACCAAGGGTGAAATGAAGGGTGGGAGCGGTGCTGTGGGACCCACTTGTATACAAAACTGCATCTGGAGGCGAGGGCTTTTTCCCTGCCATCACCACCAGTGTTCCTGCATAGGATTCCTTTCTTTCTGGAAAGGGAAGGTTAAATTATTTCCTTTTTTGTTTGTTTTTTGTTTTTCTATTCATGATTGCTACTTAGCCAAAAGTACTTTACCTATATAAGGACTGGAAATTGGTGATATGAGGGTATAACGTGAAGTTGAGCCCATATTTGTTAAATTCACCCTTTTCTGTGGCTTTTCCCTCTGAAGTCTGTTTCACAAGTATTGTTTGTGACAGACTTCTGTGGAAGAGTCGGGAGCTTTTTATTTGTTTTAATTGTGTAATTGGCCATCTGCAGTGTGACCTAAGAACCCTTTGCCAGTAGAAACATTCATACTGACTTCAGCAACCGGGATAAACCCCAGTCTGGGGACAGGTACTTCTTATACAGCCCAAATGAAAGCGTTAATATTTTTAGTATTCAGCACATTGTGGTTTTCTTCCTGGGGTTGTGGTGCTGAATATAAACACAGTTCTCTCCAGGAAAGCATGAAATATTATATGTCTACTTAAATGCTGTACGTTGTGGTTCTTTTTCCCAAGTGTGCCCAAGGCCTAGTGCATCTCGAGCTTGGGAGGTTGCGAGCTGGATCATGGCTGTCAGCACGGAAAACATCCCAAAACAGTCAGGTTAGTGACAAATTCATATGTATAAAATGAAGCTGTGAAGGGCAAGGAATGGGAACAGTGCACGGGGTTGCACACAAAGCTCAGTTCTTCTGTCATTTACTGCTGAGGATGTGGAACAAAATACTTTATCACAATAATTTGCTTTGCTCAACTGCAGAAAAAGCATCGTGCTGAAATGCTGAATAAGTGGAAGAATTGGTTAATGATTTTTTTGTTTGTTAGTGTCTTCCCGAAACGCATCAGAAATATGTAATATCTTTCTCAAATGATGATGCCCAGAAGTTTTTTAGACCTGCAAAAAGCGCTGAATGCATTTGCTGCAGCTGTTTTGTCAATCAAAATGAGTTAATGAAACTGAACTGTATCTTCGCCTATCTTATGGCAGAACCACATGAGAGCTGCTTTGCTCTCAAAGAAAACACAGAGCAATTTCCTGCTTCACTTGCTTTTTACCTGAAGCGAGGACAACAATTCATTTTTCAATCAGTGCAGGGCTTTCCCCCTCTTCTCGCTTCCCCCAATCCACTCAGACATTGATACTATTAGTATTAAAGTCTAAGTACAGCAAGGAGGAGAAGCAAGGCTTAAATGACTTAGAAAACTGGTTTTTAATGGATTTTTCCTTCTGAAGACTGACTGTTTTGCCATGATATTGAAGTTGCAAACATCCCAGAGAGAGACAAGCTGTGGTTCACAGCAGTGCAATTGCTATGAGTGTTTTGCCCGCTCTCTGCACCAGGGCAGCTGCTGGGGACATCGGGGACGTTGCCAGCACACCTCCCTCTCCTCAGCATGCAGAGGCTGAGCACCAGTGGGGTCCAGCCCAGCCTCCACAAATGCTTAAGAGAAGGGGCTTGGTTTTAGAAATGGCGAGGAGCAATAGGAGGCTTAGGGATGTACTTTAAAGCAGTAATGTTTTTAGGGAAAAAAACAATCCTAGTGATCAGGTTGGTAGGAGAAGAGGCTCGTCCTTGATTTCATGCTTGAACAATCCAAAAGGGTGCCAAAAATCATAGTCATGTGGCATGATTTCTTAACTTTATGAAGGCCAGCAGTGATCCGGTCTGCTGTCTGTGTGGGTGAAGTGTCGGGAAGGGCTAAGGAGCCCGTAGCCATGTGGGAACAGCTGTGCTAAGCCCAGCTTTAAAAATAATGCCTAAATATTGTTGGAGAAACATCTGCATTCAGGCAAGGAAAAATGAAGCAACAGAGGAACATGATACTGATTGCATTAAGTAAAGACAGCAGTCGTGATTATTACTTTTTGGGTTGTTTTTATCAACAGTTAGCATAAGCAAGAGCTCTGTAATCAAAAAGTGATAGTTAAAAATGATTGCGTATTGCAATGTAAACTCATAGCTGAAGCAAAATGCCAGAATGTTTTTCTAGGTAGAAAATAAAATCAAATGCTAACGATGTCATCTCCCTTTCTAGCATTTTGTAGCTTTTTCAGGAACCTGTTAATTTCTGTATTTCTTTTAATACGAGAAGTCTGCTGCTCTTAATGCAGAGTCATTGGAGAGCCTGCATCTCTCTGCTCCAAAGTGACTTGGTGATTTTGAAAATGGAATAAATGTTTCTCAGCAAAACAGTTCCAAGAGTTATAAAAATCTTGGCAGATAATACGGCAAATCAGCTTGAATGATTTGCACAACTGTGAGCGATGTGTCAGAAGCTGCTGGCCAAGAGCATCCAGAACTTTTGTCCTCACTTGGCTTTTTTTTTTTTTTTTTTGGTCTGTTGCATACCTTTAACAGTAGAAACATAAGCCTCGTGGTGCAGGACAGTGATTTCTTTCACGCACTTTGCAAATTGTGTTAACTGACCCATGAATTGGCAACTAGACGTGGAAATTGTGCTCTGCCTGTTGTTCATCACTGACAGCTGCACACTGGTCAGTTTGGATGAATGCTGCCAGAGCTTTTGATTCGCCGCCTAATGCATTTAGGGGAAGAAAGCTCTGCTGTGCGCCCAGAAGTGTGGAGCAGATCTTTGTTTCGTATAAGCCAGCTTAGTCAAAAAGGTCTGGCTGCAGTGAAACCTGTTGTTCAGACACATTTCCTAAACTGATAACGACGTTTTCTCTGAGGGGGAGCAAGTCTGAAGATAAGGCCAGATACAGAGATAGGGAAAAGTAGTGCTGGAAGGGAGTGGTGCAGTGCCGATAGCGTGCACGAGCAGCTATCTGCCAGCTTGTCCCTCCTGTTGGCAGTAAGACACGGGCGTCCTGTGCTGCGTGCACCTCTGTTGTTATTCTGGAAGTGGGCGGGGATCCTGGTTAAATGGTCGTGGGGAAGATGCCCACCAGATTTATCAGCAACCATTATTTCCCCTTGTCCTCAAGCTTGGAGAGAAACTGGGAGTAAGCGATGGAGGAGGTTAATCCTTCGTTATGACCTCTAGAGCAGATCACAGAATCGCAGAGTGGTTGAGGTTGGAAGGCACCTCTGGAGGTCGTCTGCTCCCCAAACCCCCAAGAGCAATTCTGTAGTACCACTGAACAACTCTACACGTGTGCCCACAACACAGATTGTGGTAGGCTCCATCAGGGGAAATGAAGCTGGAGGTTTCCACTCGTGTGGCTGATGTGGCATTTCCACTCTGATTTCCCAGAGGACGTCACAGGAGCTGGTTTGAAGTTCACGTTTGGGTTTGACTCTCAGGTTCTGATTTACGTTTAATTTCAGGCGAGCCAACAGAGTGGCCACAGCCACTTCCACCCCGCACTCGCTCCGGTCCTCTCTACCTTGCAGAATTTTGTCAGCACGAAAAGGTCTTCAGCAGATGTCTCTCAGAGAAACTCAGGTATTTTGCGGACAGCTGTCAGAATAGCTGCATGTTGCTTGCACTGTTGCTCTTTTTGTACAAAAGAATACTTGAATACTTGAACCTGGTTTTCCTACACAGCCTCCCAGAAGATGCACCACTGATGTTGTAAGACCCTTAACACTTTCCTGCAGATGGCATTGCTTTCATGTCCCGTCGTAGAGTAATGGCTCCTCTATTTTAAATGCACAATTCTTGCACCCTGCTATTCCCCAGCGCCCTCGTCGGAGGCTTAGCACAGGCAAGGTTCTTGTAGAATAGTTTTTTTCAGGGAATAAAGCTGCCACCACTTCATTTATATCTGTGTTGCTCTTGAGCGTATAAAAGGGTGTTTTGTAAAAAGTCACAATGCCCAGATTGCAATTTGAAGATTTAGCAAGTGCTGAATCTACAACTTGCAGGAACTTGCAGAGGGCCTGCACGTTTGTGTGCTCTGCACTGAGTCAGAAATTTGTAACCTTAGCTTGTGGCTGACCATGGGCAGAAGACGTTTTTTCTGGCTTTTTGCATGCACTGGAGGAGACGTGGCTTTTTGGGCGGCCTTCCTTGCACCATGTTGATGAAGGGCCCTGCAGCTCTAACAGTGCACGTCTGTGTGTCCTGGCTCAGCGTCCCCAAGGCTGCGCTTCCCATGGTGTCAGACCTTGCAGCACCTCAGCAGTCCTGCCTTGAGCACTCATAACAGATAGCTGCACAAGCACACACGTGGCAGTAAGAAATACTGATATGTATTAACAAGAATCTTCTAAAAGATTCTTAAAACAGGTTAATTTAAGCTGGTACAATCAGGGATTATTCCAGCACAGCCCAGGACCTGACTACACCATCAGCTCTTAAGCTATTTAGTCCCAGTCAAATGATTCATTTGCAGTGTCCCTTTTTCTTCATTTTTTTGAATCTTTTGAGTACTTTTAAATGTCCTGTGGCTAGATATATGCCAGCCAGACTTCCTGGCTGTCTATTATTTACAAATACGGCACAAATTAGAACAGGAAATCAATGGAACCTCAACAGTCTGAGACCAGCCGTGTGCCCTACCCTTTGTGGTGGGGACACTGATTTATGAATAATAAGGCAATCTTTAATTGAGTGCAATGCACAATAGGGCTTTTCTTCAGGCCAGCAGAGTGCTGCTATTCAAGAGATTGTGGTGAGCAGTGGCTGTGCTACAATGGGTGTCACAGTGGCATCCGTCAGGCAGAGTGATTGCATCCGTATTCATCTCCTGGTGAAACAGCAATCCTGTCCTCCTCACGTGAGCACTGCTGCCTGATTTGGCACAGGAAGGGCTGTGCTTCTGCTTGGTGATAACTCTGACTAGGCAGCAAGGGACCATTGTCACCTGACAGTGTTATCTCTTAATTATATTATCTCTTAATTACAGAAGCTAATTGTTTGTTTCTTTATTAGTAGGAGCAGATACGGGCCCAAGGACTGTGGAGATAACAAGGGTCAGTGAGTTATTTTCTATCATTTCAAAAAGCTGACACCTTTGACTGAAGTTGTTAATTTTTGTAGTGTTCCTCAGAATTAAACTGCATTTTGTTTGCAATAGGTTGTCGAATGTATGTCTGTGTAATGGGAGCTGTATGTGCATGTCAAACGTAGCTATTTTCACCATATTGCATAAATCAGACGGGTCTGGTATTGCTGTACCCTAAACATTGACCTCTGTAAGCGGGCCCCAGTTAAAAATGTGTTTTTGTTTTGTTTTGTTTTTTCTTTTAGGGACCAAATGATGCACTTGGTATCAGTATAGCAGGAGGGAAGGGGAGTCCTTTGGGAGATATTCCCATCTTCATTGCTATGATTCAAGCCAGTGGTGTGGCTGCACGTACCCAAAGACTCAGAGTGAGTAGAGGGCTCTTCTCAATACCTTCTAGTTCATCTGTTTTGTCTCAGAGAAGGAGCCTCAGGTGCTTCTGCATGTGTCCTCACTTTGATAAAGTCTCATAGGCTACTCTGTCTCTTTTTAAAAACAAACACACAAAAAAGCTCTGCCCCTCTCTTCCCCTTTTGATTATATTGCATCTGGGGATAATTGTGATTGCCTACATGGCAAAGATATGTTAAGAGAACATAAATACATTTGCAGTAGTCTTTGAATGTGTTTGAACAAAAATAAATAAGCTGGAAGAACTACAGCATATGTTCATCCAAACCCAGGGAGGACAGCAACAAGCTCTCTGGAAGCAGCAGATGCTCTGGAGACTTCAGATTGGGCATTGTTTTGGAGCCCAAACAAGACAAACAACATCAGAAGTTAGTTGTTTGATCTCAAAGGCCTGATAAAGGAATGCAAAAATAAAATGCTTCTATCAGACACACAGGATATGTGGGTATTTCTAGGAATGACCACTGATCATTTACTAAGTTTGGAGACCATTTCAGGGAATCATTAATATTGAAGAGAACTTAGTATGCAGTTGCATAGGAAAACTTTGGCCCCTGAGGTTCAGTAGCAAACAGTGCTATATCCATGCTGTGTCTCTAGTAGAAATACACAATAGTGTTAAGTGCCAGGGTCAAAATCATTTTTTTTTGTGTAAAGAGAAGTGCCTGCTTTCCTACAGTGCTTTCATCATGTGCCTACATAATCTATAAGAAAAGAACTTGTCCGCACAAATGGCCACAAATAAGTCCTTTTTGGATGGGAGAAGAGCAGTCAATCTCACCCTCTCTGTTTGCAAATGGAAACAATAAAATACAACCCACCTTTGTTTCTCTGATCGCATTGTTATTTAAAAAAAAAAATGTATTGTGCTTGCTCTGAAGAATGGGAAATGATCACTAGCAATGTAGAATTTTCACAAAAGCGATCCTGCAAAAGAGAAGCATGACTGTGCAGTGCCAAGTTCATGAGGAATTTTAAGCATTCTTAATTTTAATTTTCCTTAATGCTAGTAATTTTCCATTACTGTTGTACTTTTAGGTTGGAGATCGGATTGTCAGTATTAATGGGCAACCTTTGGATGGGCTGTCTCATGCAGATGCTGTTAATCTACTAAAGAATGCTTATGGGAGCATTATCCTGCAGGTATGGTGATAAATTGAACATGCAGCTGCATGAGGGTAGATAAATGGCATTCAGGAAAAAAAAAACCACTAAGCATCACTGGCACAAGGCATCACAGAATTGCAGGGTGCTTGCTGATGGGAATTACACGGAATGAAAGCAAGAAATAATTTTCATTCAAAAATTATTTATTGCCACTCATACAGGCTGTGAGCATGATTATATAAAAGCGTAACAAAGAGAACAAAGTAACTTGTTGCTACACATGATAAATCAACAAGCTTCCAAGGTTTTTTTCATCTGAAGTTAGCAGGAACAAGAAATTGTGTGTGTGTATGTGTGCGTGCATGCCACTAGACTGTGACCAAACTGTCCACAGTGTTAATTTCCTTGCTCTTGAAAGGGGGAGAAGGAAGAATATTAGCAGCACTTAGTAAGAATGATAGCAGCATCATCAAGACAGTGCTGTCTAGAATTAATTACTCTACAGGTAATGAATAATAACACTCAAGAGAGAAGAAAGAGTTTATCACTGCCACATTTATATGAAAGGAAGATGTGTTCTACCACTTTGGTTCTAATTGCTGCTTGCTAGTATATCCGTCTTTAGTTTATTTTTATGTTTACATGAAGAAATGGGAAAAATACTTGCCAGAGAGAATTCAAAACACTACTCATTTGCAGAATTATTGTAACAATTGGAAAATAAGCTTAAAACATACCACTAAAATCTAATTTTATCATCAACATATTGGACTTGAACACATCTTGAGAAATTTTTGCAGGCTTCTTACTTTCATTACAACTTAAATGTTACTATAAAAAAAGGCAAAAATGCGAGAGAAGGGGGGAAAAAAAGAAGAAAAGGAATGATAATAAACTTACTTTTAGACTCGTTTATTCTTTGTTTTGTCTGTCCATGAACTGCTGACCCCCTAAGTGATGAGCCAGTTCCAGAGCAGATGGTGTATTTGTGTAGTTCCATTGAAGTCAGAGGAACTACACAGATACACAGCAGCTGAGGATTTTCTGTTAAATTATAGTTATCATATTGTTACTAACGTTGAGTAATTTCACTTTTCATGTCAACAGTATTCCCTGAATAGAAAATGAAAGCTTGCTGCAGAACCCCAAATTGCTAATCTTGAAAGCTGTAATACAGCGTATCCCACCTCATCAAGCATTTAAAAATATTCCTGATGAAGCACGCTGTCAGTTGTTCGCTCACATAAACAAAGAGGTTGTTCTAGAAATGTCTTTGCTTTTTGTCACTTGACAGTTTTTCTTCCACGTTTTCGCTGTCTGGCTCAAAATGTGTTGAATACTTTTACAGATGATGCAGGGTTTTCTGATCGAAGGGAGTCTATTTTCCCCTGTTGAGAATCTGCTCTGGCAGGCTGTGTTTTGATCTAGCAGCAGGGAGGTAGCGGAGCAGCCCCGCCGTCAGCGCGGCGATACGGGCAGGTTACAGGCTAACTGCAGGTACTTCTCAATCACCGGGCTGCTTTTTTATTAAAACAATCTAACTGAAATAATCCTATCGCTGCGATAATCATGACTGATGTGTCATTAAGTAATTCTGTTTATTATCGGGTTAGACCACTTCATGGCAAACTGCTCTGAAAGGTCAGATAATTGCGTTCAGTGGTGTGGAAAGGCTTATTATCAGCACGTCCTGGGAAGGATGGTAAAGGAGTTTGCAAATGCTGTTTGCAAATGGGAGATTAGGGTCTCAGGGGAACAATCATCCCTTCCGGCTGTTTTGATGCTTTGGTTTAATTTAATTTCTTTTCTGCAGGTGTAGTAATGAGATAAGGAGAAGCTTTTTTACAAGGTTGTTGAACTCTGATACATTCTTACTGCCAACTGAAGATTTTTGAATATAGATTTATTTTACTCTATTTTATTTAACAAAATATGACAAATACTGCCTGGCACTCTTTCCCCTTCTGCAATGGGAAGGAAAACTTAATGGTGCCTTTGCTCTCGGAGCCAGGTGCAGCTGCCTCCTCTGTGGCCCCTTTCATTAAGGGGATCCTTAGTCCTGGGATGGGAAATTTGCACTAGAACTAAGCTTTTTTTCCTAGAAAATGCTACCACCCTCTTGGTTCCAAATGATTAGAGAGAGGGGAACACTGTCATGGCAGAATTGTGAGCGTTCATTTAAAATGGGGGATTTATATAATGGATTTTTTTTTTTAATTTCAGAAAGGTATGTTTCCCTTAAGCCATGTTCCCAGCGAGGAGTGGAAAAAGTCCCTGTTAATTTTGATAAAATAAGGCCACAAATAGCTAGAGAAACTACTGAAAATGAACTTGCTGGGTACTTGTCACTGTCTCTGAACCAAACCCCTGCACAATAAGCATCAAGCAGAGATGAGCATCTCATCAGAGTTAGGGATAACCACTGCATGTAGCTGTTAGGAATTGCGTGTTTAGCTGTGAATTCTTAAAATCAAAACACTTCTAAGTGGCTTCCTCAAATGTATTCCAGAAAAACAACAGAAAACTAGCATACAGTGAAAGCCAAAATCTAGAGTGGGCCTCGACACTGTGTCTTTAATGATCCCCATCAGGCCTGCATCCTGCGAGCTATTCCCTGGGAGACCAGCTCTGGGACCAGCAGACACAAACTTTGGAGTTCAAGGCACCTCTTTCTCAGTGCATCTCCAGCTGGTTTTGTACCTACCCTATGAAACATCAACGTGGTTGTTTTAAAAAGCCTGAGCGAGCTTGCTGCCTCATATCCCATCTAATGTTGTTAGCTCTGTTAATTAGTGTGTCATGGTAATTCCTGCTGATTTCAGAACGATGCAGGGCCATAACTGGGCAGGTTTCAGAATCGTCTTTGTTGCGTTTAGTTGAAATGCTGGAGAAACTGCAGAGAAGCTGAAACCAAGCATTCATTTCTCCCCCACTCAGCAAACAAATCAATCTGAGGTGTTTCAGGACCTTTGCCTGATAGAGAGCTCCAGAGCAAAGTTTTAACCCCAGAAAAAGGTGGCTATCCATGATTTTTAACACAGTTATTTGAAAGTATTGCATTAGTAGGAAATTTAAGAAAGTAGGGCTTGTATTTGAAATTTGATTGAAAAACATAAGATGTCTCTGGTACTAAGTGAGCACACACAGCATTTCATTGCCTCCTTTCTGCTTAGGTTGTGGCTGATACCAACATCAGTGCTATTGCGACCCAGCTGGAGAGCATGTCTGCGGGATGCAACCTCAACTCTTCTTCTGAGCATGCTTCTGAAGATCCTGAGTAAGTCTGTGACAGTCTGCATAAGTGAGATGGATTTCTGTGCCTCATGCAAGGGAAAAGCCTAGGGTGGCGAAGGAGGTCTCTTCCCATTGCTTTTCTCTCTAATTTTCCATCACCTTTAAAATGGTAACTGTGACGTTCTCCAAGCTGATTACACACCTGTGTCCATCTTTACCTGGTGACGGAAATTGTCTAAGTAAGGACACAAAATGTGTTTCCAAACACTTGCCTTATCTTGTCCTTTCTGCTGGTTATGCTGACGTGGTAGTTCTGCATTTGTCTGCTGGCCTCTGTGCCTGAGAGGAGTTCTGATTATAGCAATTCAAAATCATTTGTCATCGGCACACTAAGAAAGAGACATTAAAAAAAAAATGGTATTGGAGACAAATCTATCAAAACATGTCCAAGAACTTTGTCTTTTTCTGGCTTTACAGTTCTTAAAAAGTCTCACTGAATTTTTTCTACCTATAGCACTTCTGTACAGTGATAGAAGTTAGAGACCAAGCCCTCCCATGGCCACGCATCATTACCCATCACGTGCTTTTTAGGGTGGCTCATAGCATTCCAGTTACCATTTTGAAATTCATTTTCATTTTGGTTTATTAGCTTCATTATGTTCTTCGTTTTCATTCTTTGATTCATTATATTTACTTTAAGAAGCTGAGATGCAAGTTGCTGCCCTACCTCGGGGGATTTTGAGTATAAAACTTGAGCTATTTATGCTGCATTCCCTAGTTGTACAATGTGAGGAACTGTTTTTATTGCTGCTCTCAAAGGAGAATTGCTTATTTCACAAAAAGATCTGTATTCTCATTTTATATCAAAATAGTAAGGAAATTTAAATTTGAAAATAGGAAGCAGAAATAGGTAGGCGCATGCATTCAGTCTGTCCTAAAGAAATGGCGAGGTACAAGTCTTCGTGAGCTGCGCCTTTAATTAGGCAGATGCCAAACAGAATTTGTCCATAATAGTTCTTTCTAAATATGTAGAGATTACTTTTTCATATTTGAGGTAGATACATAGATAGAGCAGTCTGGACTCCACCAAAAACCTTGCTATGCAGACATTAACAGCCACTGCAGGGTCTAAGCAAGGCGCTGAGTGAGGGGCTCTCTGGAATCAGCCCCTGGGGTTACGAGGCACAGGGATGGAGTGCGATAAAAGTTCTCAGAAATCACCCAAAGAGCTTGCAGTAGAGCTGAGACTACACACACGAGTGTTCCTGGCTGCAGCCTCATCCCAGTGAAATCATAAAATCAAATGACGCTGTGAGGAAGCTGCTGCAGTTGCCACTTTCCCAGAGTGAAGATGACAGCCTGGCTGGTAAGAAAGCAAAATTTCCTTTATGTATGCACAGCTACTGCAGATTAGAGAAGCAGCACTCCTGCATGAGAGAGAAGTGCTCTTGGTGAGCTCTTTAAGTATTTTCAAGTATTTTTTAAGGGAGGAGCTGAAGCCTGTGGAACAGCTTGCGAGCTCAGGGCTGTGCAGGAGTGTGGCTGAGCCCAAGGCCGAGAATCCTGCTTGGTGACTGTGTGAAAAACTTGATGGTAGATAAATATCTCTGTAAGTGTTCCTTCTGCGGAAAGTCCCCAGAGACAGCTGTTGTTATTCTAAGTGATATTTATTGTGTTTTCAGAGCACCTCAGCCTAAGATTATTACTTTGGAGAAAGGCTCTGATGGACTGGGATTTAGTATTGTAGGGGGGTATGGAAGTCCCCATGGAGACCTGCCCATTTATGTCAAGACTATATTTGCCAAGGTATCTCTTTTTGTTTTGTTTTCTCCCTTTTTCTTTATTATCTTTAAAAATAAACGTAAGATTTGGCTTGGGTAATATATATGGAGTTGAAAGCAAAATGTACTGTCTAGGTACGCTGATGTGAGCAGCCCCAGAACGCACAGCTGGCTTCTCAGTTTATATTTCACGTTGCTGCTGGCTGAAACAAGACACTTTATCTCAGCAAAATTGGTCTGTGTACTTTGGAAACTTGGGTTTATACGTTAAAATATTTACAGAGCAGTTTTCTATCTGCAAATCTCGGTGCCTTCCAAGCAGTGTGGAGGCACCGTTTTCCCGCTGTCCACGAGAGGAGGCAGTTGCAGAGATGTCGTGTCCTGGAGCTTCAGCTGCAAAGCCCTGTGCTCAGGCGGTCAGCTCAGTGAGAAGTACACCATACCACGTGGCTCGATGATGAATTGGCTTCCACATCAGTCCTGGCTTTAGTTATTCTCCCCTGCTTCCAGCTTTGCTCTCAAGCCCTCTGTGAGCGCTCCTCTCTCTGCTTGTTTGCTGCCTGAGCTGCTCACGGTGTGGCTGCCGCAGCTGGTCCTGGCCCTGAACATCAGGGGAGGACTGCCAGGTACAGCAGTGGCTCTGGCCACCAAGGAACCAGTACTTTGCAGCCTTGTCTCGAGGCAAATTGCCCCAAAATGGCCACAGGTGTGGAGGGAGAGATGCCCCCTTCCTCCCCCTATCCTGCTGCTGAGAATGCGCTCTGCATGTGCCAGCAACATCCTCTCATGGAGCCACGACTGATGTAATTCTGGAAACTGGGGGGAGAAAGCAGTGGGAATTAGGGATAGTTCACATAAAGTGACTTCTCAGTCAGCCACTAAAAATTGTTTGTCCTGTGCCCACTTGCTGTCAGTTGTGCCAGCGTTTCTGACAGGGCAGGTGATATTAAAAAATAAAATTAAATTAAACCTTCAACCTTGCGTTGAAGTTCAAACCACAGATATCTGCTCTTCTCACAACTTGCACTTACAAGAAGATTCTGTGCCTTTAAATGGATGCTCAGATTTACAGGCTCACAGAGGTGAGCACAGCTGAGAAACCCCCAAATCACAGCTGGGAAACACCACAGCCACTTACGGGGCCGTGGGACAGAGCCAGACACCACGAACCAGCATATGGGCAGGGCAAGGGCTCAGGATTTGGGCAAAAGAGCCGTGTTCAGAGCTCAGAAGGAGAACAGCCACTTCTAAAGCTCTGTGTGAGCTTCCCAGGACTTTCAGTTGAGCCCAGCTCTGTCTGGGGTTTGGGGCAGTGCCCAGGCTGTTGTCTCGCACGAGCTCTGCATCTCCCTTCCCACATTTTAACCCATTTCTCAGCTCAACACTGACATACTGCTTTAACAAGTGTCTGCATGATCATAAGAGACAGAACCAATCTTTGCACTGCGTTGTTTCCAGGGACTGAGCTGATTCCCCTTTTCCCCGGGGTGTAATTCCCCCCTGTGCTGCCCCAGAGCAGCAGGGGCCGGGTAAGCAGTGTCAGCAGAGGGCAATGCCCAAGCATTCCAGCAGATTTGGGCACTGCACAACAACTCTCTCCTTTTCTGTGTCCCCCACCCAGCTACGCTGGGATTTCCAGCGCCGCATCCCTCCTCATTTCATCCATCAGCATCAGGAGAGGCGGGAGGGCTCGGTGCTACCAGCCGCTAACGTTTCCTTTTGCCATTTGCAGGGAGCAGCTGCGGACGATGGCAGACTGAAGCGTGGCGATCAGATTTTAGCGGTTAATGGGGAGGCTTTGGAAGGTGTTACTCATGAGCAAGCTGTAGCTATTCTGAAGCGCCAGAAAGGAACTGTGACATTAACGGTGTTATCATGAATGTCATTGCGCTTGCAGAGATAAATACAATTATTTTAGAACATCAGTAGAGCTATAATAATACCGTTCAGCCCTGAGCCGGATGTAAAGCAAACTCTGGCGAAAATTAATCAGTATTCACCCCATTGCCAGAATGGGTAGTGTGCATCTTGAGCTTCATTTAGCCTTCCCCATCGATCAACGTTTTCCCCACCCTCCCCTACTTCTGGTGGCTTTTAAGTTTCCCCTGGACAAGTCTAATTAAGAAACTTCAAAGAATAACATCAGTTTTACGTTCTGCTTCAGTTTATCCCCACCGGTCTGAACCCAGATACAACTGCTGAACCTGGGCTCTGTTCGCACACAAAAGAGAATTTAGATCATCAGCTGATCTCATCTGATGAGCAGAAATAAACGCTGAGTGACTTGTCATCTCACTCATGATTTACTTATGCTAATTGTCCTTTCAAGTATGCCAGAAAACATTAGCAATGTAATTAAATTACCACTGTTCCAAATGATGAAATATCAAATTCTCCTCTGGGAAATTATTTGTGCTCGGCACAGTAAGTCTGATAGTCAAATGTGAACTTCTCATGTTTATCTCTTTGGGTAGGTCTATGGAAGTTAGTCAGAGGTAATTACTGTGATGTGTCAATTTGCAGCCTTTAGCATGAAAAATAAACTAGGGGAGAGGCGATTTTTTTTTTTTTTTAGGCTTTTAAAACATTTGAGCCTTTTCAGATATTTAAGCAGCATGAACAACAACGTATCTCGTTCTAATTATATTTTTAAAGGAGAAATGTGCTGATACACGCCAGGCATGTTGCATACAAAGACAGTTGTTGTTGTGCCAAGTTGCAGCATAATTGTTCATCCTGAAACTTTAATGAAGACAAAAGTTTGCTTAGGCAACGTGATCCAATAATTCTAGTAATGATGGTGAGCTGCCCCTCTGCACATTGTCTTTAAGGCTAGATGAAGTTAATCCAAACCAGCAAACCATTTCCAGGAGGCTCCATGGGAACAGATAGCACAGGAAGAGGCTGTCATGGATCACAGAGGATGGCTCCCTCCTGGGGGTGCCGGGGCTCAGGTTTGGGTATTCCCACGTAACACCGGGCAGCCATGAGCTCTCCTGGGCACAGCACGCTGCAGGGCTCCCCAGCCTTGCCCCCCAGGTGCAGTCGAAGCCCTGGATTTCTTTGCTTTGACCTCAGCCAGGAGAGAGGGCTCTGAATCCTCCAGGAGCCCTCCCGGGGCCCTCTGAGCGCTGGAGGTGGGGTGCAGCAGCCTTCAGACAAAATTCGGTAACTGGGTTAGGTGCTGCAGCCCTTCCTGCAGCGATTAGATGGCTGCGGCCTTGGCGATTTAGAAAATGAGTTTGGCAGGCAGATGGATGGCAGTGCCAGGCATTGTGGTTTAATCTGCCCGTGCGGAGGAACAGCGGGGCTTTGGAGGAGGCAGCCCAGGCTGATGCGGGCTATTTGGTGTAATTTATAATGATGATGTAGCAGGGAGAAATGAAAAAAGGGGGGAGGGGGAGGGATCAAAACTGACTGTTTGATGTGAAAAATCCTTAGAAATAAATGGAAAGAGAATTCAGAAGCTGTGCTGCAATAACCGAGTAGCCCAGGCTTAGCATTAGAAGCGCAGTTGGTGCGCGCTGCAGCTGGGTGGCTCCTCCCTGGTTTTGTGGAAAGCACACACTGACGTGGGATGAACCACGAGGAAATAAGCAAGCTGCGATTCGCCCTCACTGCAGAGGTTTTCCTTAGTTCATTTAAAAGTTTTCCTTCGGAAATCACAAAGTGCATTTAGCCTGCTGGAGCAGTCAGTGGGTGTGGTGTTAATGGTATCGAGCCGAGGAATTCGTAACAGGCTGCTCTGGGTCGCAGAAGCATCCGAGGCACGCAGAGGTTGAGGCAGGCAGATGAGATGGGAAGAGGTGCCCTCAGAAACAGCGTGTGGGATTTCTGAACAAAACGCAATGATTCCTCCCATCGTTTTTATAGCCATTGCATTCCTACCTTAAGATGTTGCTGCGTTTAATCAATGAAGTTTTACATGGCTATTTGTTAGCCTGTTCTGCACATCCTGCTCATACTGCACATAACGAATAGGATTTATGGGCTGGGATATTTTGCACTTCTCATTGCTCAGAATGAGATAACATTTTCTGCTTCTTGTAATTTGCACTTTGTGTCTTGAATATATTACTGCCAAAAATCATATTGCAACTAATTGATAAACCAGTGACCATGCGGAGAAGCGTGTGCTGTTGTACAGGACCAAGTTAGATAATTAAATTTGCATTACGCTTGTCTGGGTTGAGGTGTTCTGGTTTGTTTAAAACTTTATTTCTGTGCAAGGGAAAAGCAATTAGACCTCCTGATTGTATGTTTACATATATCACTGAAATAAGACATTTTATGACTTCAAAGATTCTAAATAAATCTCGGTTACCTAAGTAGCTGTGCATTATTTATTTTTTCTTAATCATTGCAGAATTGTATTGCACGAGATGTCTTTGTTTGCTCGTTATTGCCTTCCTCGGGGAGCAGGAGCCGCCGCAGCTGCAAGGAGCGACCAGAGGCAGCAGTGCCAGCCGGGGGCTCCTGCCCAGCTCAGCGGCTCGCTCCGGAGCGAGACCCTCACGGGGAGGGAGCCCCCCTGTGTGTGTCTGTGCTCCGTCAGAGGGCTGCTACTGCCTTGCAGGTGGTAAAGGCTTTGAATCAGGGGAACTTCACAAAAGGTGGCTCACGTGAGAGCGCAAGGGTCCAGTGTGCAGGCAGCAAAACTAAGGAAGAGGAAAGGGGGGTGAAGGCAAAGGCCCAGAGCAACTGGGTTGTGACAGGAGGGCTCAGACTCCACGGGAAGGGTGCCTGCAGCAGGAACATCTCTGCTGTGGGTGTGCTCGCAGCCTTTTGGAGGTGCTACAGCACTGCTCGAACTCATCTGTGCTGGTGGTGTGCTCTCCTGCCTTGGTCTGAGGACTCCCTTGGCAGAGCCTTTTCTTTTAGCAGGTTCAGTCCCTGCTTTATCAGCATCAAGCACACCCTTAACAGCACCAGGAGCCACCTCAGGGCTGTTTGCATTTCCAGGCCAATTCTGCCAAGAAAAGTGCAAGTTACATCTCCTGTTAGACTGAGATTTGTCATCCCCCGGGTGAGCTCCCTGCATGCCAGGGCACGGAGCCTGTCCAGAAACCACCCCGCCTGTGTCAGACTGTGCTGCTGCCTAAGGAATAGCTGAAATGCCTCTAAATTCCCTGTAATTAATCAAAGGGCGATTACCACCCTCGTAGTGTGACACGTAGCGAGCCCGTTGAGGTAACGTGATTACGCTGAGATGGAGCAGTTAATGTGCCTTCACCTGGAAGAGCTGGACTGGATTAATTTAATGTTACACCCCTATAAAACGGGAGTTTGTACAGTTGTGCCGAGCATTGATAAATAATTCCATTATCACTTTTTCCACAGTTTTGTACTTCCACATCCATAATTTAGCTGTATTTACATTCTGGTTAAGCATTGTCGTGGTCATTGTTTCCCAGCAGCAGAGAGCCTTTTGTTCTCTCAGGCTCACCTCTTCGGGTGGCGACACAGCGGAGATGCCCCGGTTCTGCAGCACCCCAGGCTGAAAAGGTTTCAGGAGCACCTCCCCTTCGCCTTCAGCCTCGTCACAACAGGCCCTGAGCTCTCTGCTCCCTGCACAAATGCAGCAAAGCCAAGGGCTTCGAGCAGTTTGTTCCCGAGTCCTGCACAGGAAGGTGCAGCGGCAGCACGAGCGCTTCTCATCCGTCCCTGGCACCGCGGCCTCTGCTGGAGGTGCTGTGCCTCTGTGAGCGCTCGCTCAAAATTAAAAATTACATCCTTATCAAAGTAATTGTGCCAATTAAAACCACATTTATGGGGGTTATTCCGCTGTGCTTCCCATCCGGGCTGCCCTGGGCTGCCTGCACGCCGGCTGAGCACAGCACACGCTCTCTGCCATGCCCGACGAGCTCTCTTCTCTCCCGGCACCAGGATGCAGAGCTGCAGCTGCTGCTCAAGGCTCGCCAGCGAGCTGCCACAAGGAGGAGATAGAACAAAAAAGAAGAGGGCTACGAAGGCCCAGCGATAGGTTTCTTCTGAAAAAAAATGTGGTTTTTGGGGAGGGCTGCTTGTTTGCACTTTGAGTGCGAGGGCTCTCTTCAGTCTCAAAGCTTTCTGGCTTTTTTTTTCTTCCTTTTTAGCGCTTGAATGTGCTTAAACATAGAAACTTAGGAAGTTTAGAAGCTGGGTTTGGGATTCTCCTGGTATTCTGGGAGCTGTTTTGCTGCAGGTCCTGGTTTATTTGTGCACAACAAAGCAGGAGCTCCAGCTGTGTCCCACCGGTAAAGCAATAAAAGCCAGAACCTGCATGGATTTGGGGAAGGGAGGGCTGTCTGCCTGTGTTTTGCAGCTTTCTCCAAGCTGCGTTTGGGCTTGAGTGGGGCCAGTGCCAGCAGCCCCTGCCCCGCTTTCTTTGCAGGATCCTGCAGCTTTTTCTCCCGGAATGTCACTAGATGGAGCAATTGACAAAATATTTAATTTCCGCTGCCTTCAGCCCTGGGGGGATCCCGCTGGGTGGCCCTGAGCTGCTCCTGGCCTCTCGCTGCGGCAGCGCCTTCCCCTGCAGCAAATAAATCTGCCTGCGCCGAGAGGCTCATCTCCTGCAAATATTAAACCCTAAATTCTCCTGCCGGTCACCGAGCTGCCAAAATCCAGCCTGCTGACCGGGCGCTTTCTGCGTGATAAACGGGGAGGTTTGGATTTCCTCCGGGTGCGGAGGAGGAAGCAGCGCCCGGTGTCTGCACCCTGTGCTCAGCTCGGCCTGGCCGCAGCACCCAGCTGCTGCCCACAGATGTCGAAGGAGCCGAGCCAAGGCACGGCCCGCAGGCTGCCCAGTAATTTAATTAACGGCACCGAGCCCTGCGTGGGGGTCAGGGCGAGGTGCTGTGCGCTCCTCGAGCTGCCCCGGGCCCCTTTTGGGGGCCGCCCTCGCCCTTTGCTGCCCATGCCAGAGGGAGGTGGAGAGCTGGCGGGCGCAGCACCAGGAATGAGCTAACCCCTGACAGCAGCCAGCCGCAACGTTTCAGGCAGCCTGGACAACGTTAGCAAATTACTGCGATCGTTTCACCCCCTTCCCTGCAATTTATGGTCTCGAGGCCGTAGCAAGCAGTGGTGGTGCCCCTGTGGGACAGACGGAGCCCAAATCAATCGCAGTGGCCAAGCTTTGCTGGGGTGATTCCATTCCTCGCATATCTCGGGGCTGATGTCACGGCGGTGCGGGGGCCTCCAGCCTCCACCAGCCCCCCACAGACCTCGATGTCGCCTCACAACCCCAGCAGGAGCCCCATGCATTGGTCCCTGAGCCCCCAGGGGGTTTTGTTGCTCCCCTGGTATTTCCCCGTCCCATACTGGTACCCACCAGCTCCATGGCTAGCACACGGACGGACAGCCCTGGTGCCCCCAGGACTCCTGACGGGATCATGTTCGTGGGGCTGGGGGACAAAATCTGTGTGCCAGAGGGCTTCCTCTGAAGGTTATCCATGAGCGAGAGGAAAAAACAGCAAATCCTTGGCAGCTGGCCCGTTTTCATCCCTACTGCGACACTGAGGAGCGACGCGGTTCCCACGGCCGTGGAGATGCTCCAGATGGGGCCGTCGGGTTCCCGGCTCCCCTGCGTGCCACCGAGGGAAGGGACACGCTCGAAATGACCGTAAGGGGAGTGGAAAAAGCACGTGCAGCTGAGTTTCTCACCATTCTTCCCCTTTGGAGCTAATCAGCTCCTCGATGGTGAGCCTGCGAAGATCATTAGATTAATTTCTTTCCTTGCTGTGACTTAATTGTCTCCATTTGTACTGCTCAGAGCTCGTGCTGGGGATGTGTTTTTGCTCAGCTATATTTAGTTCGATTTCCACCACGCTATCAAAATATAGAAATTTGGGCTGGCTTCATGACATTGAGATGCTGGGGATGATTTTCCAACTGGGAGCTGCTCCAGGCTGCCCCCACCCCACCCCCCCCAGGTCCCACGCTGCTTTTATGACTTTTGCCTTATTTTACGCAGCACCTGGGCTGCTCCCGCCCTGGGAGCGTCTCGCAGGCTGAGAAATCCCCCGGGGAGAAAGTTTGAGGGGAAAGGAGGAAATACGAGGCCGAGGAATGAAAATAAACATCCGGGGGCTGCGCACGTTGAGCAGCCCGGGCTGCGGGGACAGAAACGCGAGGGAAGAGGGGAGGCAAGGGAAGGGCTGCAGCCGCTGCGTGTCCTTGGCGCAGAGCCATGCAGCACGCCTCGAATCGGGTGTTCTGTCCCCAAATTGTGCGGGGGTGAGCTTGGCATCCCGAGGGGTCCCGCAGGCGGGCAGCTCTTCTTGAAGCAACCCCAGTCCTCCACAGAGGCTCTCCCACGTTCCTCACTGGAGCCAGGAAGTTCAGCTCCCGCTGGGGGGCAGTGGGGTCAGCACCGAATCCCTCCCACACCCTCGGCACCAGAGCCACAGGGAAAACTGGGTGGAAATGGTCACGAAATGGGGATTGCGGATTTTTGTTTGCGGCTGGGACCAGTGGTGAAGATGCACGGAGGGGCAGTGGGTGCTCAGCACCCAGGAAAGTAAATAGGGTAAATGAAAAAGGTAAAAGAAAAAAAAAAAAACAAAAAACTTGTCTGTGCTTGAAGACACTAAAAAGTGAGAGATTTAATGAAGCGTGTGTATGTGCAGCGTGCCAGGGGCTCCCTTCTTGCCCCTTTTGCTTTTGGAGGTCTGCCTGTACGTCTGTCCATCCTTTCTGCCTCACGCCCGGTGAGCGCTGCCCTGAGGGTAGCAGGTACAGGAGCAACCACAGGTGGAAGTTTAACTCGGGTTTATTCATACAAGAAGGAGGTAACTCCACTGGGGACGGGGTAAAAAAAGGCAAATGGACATTCTGCGTGGCGAGCACTTCTGCCTTAAAAAAACTGATAGAAGCAGCGAGAATGGAGCAGACACCAGATGTCAGCTGAAAGCAGATTTGATTTCAGCAGAGGAGATCCACCTTCAGGGTGCTGTAGTGCAAGCTGTCAGCTAGGGGACAGTGACGGCATCCAGGCCCTACAGGGAGCATCCAGCGGGTGCTGACCTGCTGGATGGAGGGGACCAGACCCCTCCATCCTTCCCCACCTCCTGGGCTGAGGTGGGCACTGAGCACCCCAGGGTGAGGGGAAGCACGGCACTGTGCCCACTCGTCACCGTGTCACCCCACGCAGCTGCTGGGCAATGCCAGCAGGGACCTGGCCGGGATCGCTGCTCCTTACACTGCACCCAAGCTCCGCACATGCCGACGGGTGACATTTCCCTGTCGGCTCGAGCTTAATTAGAAAAAAATTAGAGCCATATGGTTATTACGAATCCAGGCAAAACAATGTCTGTGTGTTTGGGTCTGCTGTACTCAAATATTTTCCTAC